GCGGACACTCTCTCGGATCACCGCCGGCGCCGGGGCAAGGAGGAGGACTCGCCACCGCCTCCAGCCGCCGAAGCCGACGCCCAGGATCGAGCCATCGCGCCCAACTCGCCCATCCAGCCCCTTCAGGGACGAGGCCCGAACATCTATTTCTATTCTCTACCAGCAGAAGCAGGAGCCTCTCCCACCACCACCACAACAATCAGCAAGTAGTTATGGAGCACTTATTACTAAATCATACTTTGTCTAGTCTTATAACAAATTTACATCCCTTTGTTTTAATCCTGAATTTCTATAGGTAGTCTCTGTTTGGTTTAACCCTGTATTTTACATGGCATTGTGATTTTTTAGTGTATAATCTCTTCTTCCCTTCCTGAGCCGTAGTATTTTAGTGCTTATTAAGTTCTCATGTTTTCTGTGTATACCTGCAATTTTATTTTTTATTATTTTCTCTAAGTAATTCTGAATAAGTACTTCTTGTCTATTTCCAAAGCATTTAAAAAGATTTAATATTTCAATTATAAGTTAAATACACTGATAAAAAGCCATGATCAGCAACCACTAACTTTCTTTAAGAAATCAGCTAATGACTCTTATTCATTTACTATGGCTCTGGTATACTTATTTCGAAAAGGAAAACACTATACTTTGCTCAAAAAAGTAATAAAATGAAAATTTTCTACTGCCCTCATATGTGCCCTCATATGTTCATTTTATTCCACAGCCTATATATCTTCAGCAATACCTTCGTTTACTTCTAATGTAAGAAATAACTTAGCTAACCAAAAGACAAGTTAGTTTTATATGTAGTTTCTATTTATCTCATTTATTTTTTTTCTAACAGCAATCACCCCATATTCAACAAATATTTGCAGTTGTTTTCTTCAAGAAGTCTAAAAAAGACTCTCTGCACCACTCAGATTTAAAGACTGACCAAAACAGCACATCAAAAAGGAAAAGTAAATAAAGAATCAACTGTCAACTAAATGCTACCTTTCCCCATATTGTGCATACCTAGTGTTTTAGGCATCACTCATGTAGATTGCAGTCTGGCCACTTAGACTTGCCATCAAGTTTTTATTGAGCAATTTCTGTGTGCTTACCACAGTGCTAGGCTCTGTAGGTACAAAAGCAGAGGTCCTGCCCACAAGGGACTTACAATATGGTTGAGTATTAAAAAAAAAAAAAAAACTACAAAAGCTCTTAAAAATGCATATTGTACAAACTATTTTTATATAAAAAAGCATTTCAGATAATGAAAATAAAATAAACACTTAGAACATGAATAAAGAGAGAAACATTTAATCCATGGGATAAGCCTAGACATATTTTGAATTAAAATATTTAGTAAAAGCCTGGGTTAATGAAACACATAAGCACAAATATTTTTTAAGACAGCTGTTAAACATTTAAGTATTCATAGTAATTAATTAAAAGCATATCAAGCAAGGTATATTTTATTCAGATCCTTAAGGTGTCTGAATAATTACAATTATCTTAACAATAGACTTCTTTTAAATGTGCTTCCAACTACTGAAGATGTTGAAAAAAATTTTGTTCTCTTAAGTAGCTTATATGGTTCCATTATAACCTAGTTTTCGTTATTTATTTAATTTTTAAAAGTCATTCTTGTAGACACTAAAAATGTAGACCAATTCAACACTGTCTGAATTTTCATATATTTCGTGGACCAAGGTCCCCTTATAAGATACATATACAGATTTACATACAAAAGATGACTTTAACTCCTCCTTCCTTGGGAGAATTTGGATAAATATAACTTCTGATAGAAGCTCAGTCTTCTAACCCTGATATTCCCTGTTTCCTTTCCTTGCCCTGGCTCTGAGATCTCAGCATGGCTTGGCATGCCTCTTCACGTTACCCTGTCCCAACCTCGTTTGGGAACAGCATAGCTGGATTTTTTTTTGCTTTCGTTTATTTTGTTTCACACTGGGTTGCAGTGGTGCTGAATGAAATCACTGGCTCTGCAATAGAATGTTGGTAGAAGTAGGCAGGAGTTTATTTCTTCCAATGCAAAAGTCATAGGTCTATATGTAGTCAGGAACCAGGTCTATACAGCCCATTTTTTGTGGTGTCAAATACTGTACTAGTGCTATGAGACCCATGAAGAAAATATAAGAAATGTGTCTGTCAACCATGAAATAGAATTTTGTCAAGGGAAAAAAGACAGGCATAATGAAAATATTTAAGGAATAATACAGTAATTATCGAAATGAGTGCTATATAACTTCAGAGCTGGGGAGAGAGGTAAGCAGATAACAAAGACATAGTAGTCCTCCCTTATTTTCAGGGAATACATTCCAAGACCCTAGTGGATGACTGAAACCACAGATAGTACTGAATCCTATATATAGTATGTTTTTTCCTATACATAATTACCTCTTTTAAAGTTTAATTTATAAATTAGGTACAGTAAGAGATTAACGATAATAACCAATCGTTATTGTACTAGCTCTTTTTCCTTCTTTATAATTTCAAGAATAGAAGAGTTCTTCTTATGTAGATTTTAGCAACCTCAGCATATTTTTTTTCTTTCCTTATTAAATCGAGAACTTTCACTTAAAGGAAGCACTTTACACTTAAAGGAAGCACTTTACACTTAAAGAAAGCACTTTACAATTTCTCTTTGGCATATCCGAATGGCCAAGCATCACTACTCTTGGGCTTTGGGGCTATTATTATTATTGTTATTATTATTTTTGGCCACACCTCACAGCTTGGGGGGATCTTAGATGCCCGACCAGAGATTGAACCCCAGGCTGGTGGCAGAAAGCGTGGAGTCCTAACCACTGGAGCGCCAGGGAATTCCCTGGGGCCATTATTAAGTAAAAAGCATATTAAGTGCTTGAACCCAGGCACTGCAAAACCTCAACAGTGGATCTGATAACTGAGTGGGCTACCATGTGACTAATGAGTGGGATACAGGGGACAAAGTGATGATTCACATCCCAGGTAAGACAGGGCGGAACCCTAGGAGATTTCATCACGCCTACTCGGAATAACATGCAATTTAACACTTATGAATTTCCACTTAATATTTTCAGGCTGCGCTTGACCACTGGTAACTGAAATCGCAGATAAGGAGGGGCTTCTGTACTTAAATTGTCCAAGGCCTAAGGACAAGGTGAGATTCGAACATGTGGGAGTTGAGTAGGTTTTGTGTGGGCAAAAATAACCATGAGGTATTAGAATCAAGAAGGATAGCATCCACAGATTTGTTGTTACATAATGTTGATTCTGTCCATGACATTTCAACCCACACAGTCAGTAAGCAAGTTTATAGTTGAAAGTGAGAACTCATACACTTGGAGGTAAGTTTAGATAAAGAATTAATCACAGTTAATACTTATTGAGTACCTATTGTGTTACACTCACTTTTTGTACCTTATCATAATAACCCCACAGGTAAGTATTATTGTCTTTAGTTTACAGATTAATTCATTGAGATTATATGAAATTAATTAACTTTCTCAAGTTCACAGAGCTAATGAGTGGCATAGCCAGATTTAAATCCAAGTTTGATTCCAAAACCCATGATTTTATTACTAGATCACATTGTCTTATAAATGGAATATCATTGTAATAAGTCTCACATCTCACTGTGCTGTAGGGAGAACAGTAAACCTGGAATCAAAAAACTTAAACTTGGATCTGAATTCCTACTTATGTTAGCTAAGTGACATTGGGCAAGCCCTCTGTAAACCTTACCCTCTTTTGTAAAAATAAAATAGTAAATAGATGACAGCTAGACAACCACATAGCTGGATGATGGACAGAGAGAGGTAACAGGAGTGTGGATATTCTTATGATGGTCTGCAAATTCTACTTGCTCAATAAAATATGTTGAATTTAAACCTGAATAAAGGGATTGTGTACAGCATCAGTTTCGTGCCAGTTACATGGTGCTTGAATTTCAATACATACTTAATAAAAATAATTGTAGTTTGAAGCTAATTCACACTGGTTCAACTAGCCAAAAGGAATGATTCAACTATTTTGGTTTCATCTCATTGACAGAAATGACAATAGAGTCACAGTATAGGCTCCTATTGCAAAACTACTGATACCATATTATCATCTCTTTCTAAGATATCCTCGTAGGTGACAGCATGGCCCTTAGGTCCCTAAAGAAGGGGCACTCAATAAATATGTGTTGAATTAAGTGAATGGGATGAGGGAAAAGAAGGAGGAAGGGAGTGGGAAAGAAAGGCAAGAGAAAGAAATGTTGGTTGAATTTATGAGCAGGTAAGGGTACATTAGCTGAGAGATAGTAGATGACTCAAAGTACTTTTTTTAAAGTTCACAGAATTTCTTATCTCAGACAAACTAGACCCTTTTATTTCATAAAAAAGTAACACAACTTGGGTTTCCCTGGTGGCGCAGTGGTTGAGAGTCCGCCTGCCGATGCAGCGGACACGGGTTCGTGACCTGGTCCGGAAAGATCCCACATGCCGCGGAGTGGCTGGGCCCGTGAGCCATGGCCGCTGAGCCTGCGCATCTGGAGCCTGTGCTCCGCAGCGGGAGAGGCCTGCGTACCGCAAAAAAAAAAAAAAAAAAAAGCAAAAGCAGAGCCAAGCGAAAAAAAAAAAAAAAAAAAAAAAAAAAATAACAAAACTTGATAGTTGATAACTATGTCATTTATTAATTTTGTCTTTTGTATGCCACCCAAGAAAAAATTGTAAGAAATGCTGAATTGATAGTGGTGGATCAGAGGCTGCACCCGGATTTTTTAATGCTCCAACTCAACAGTTCACCCCTTAGCTTCATTATTATTTTCTATGACATTTCAAGACAGCTCTTCGTTGCATCACACCTTTCAGTCTTCAAAGACAGAGAAATAACAATTATGCTGATTCCTGAATTACTAAATGACATATAACCAGAATACAGACTTAAGGACTTTTAGTTCCCAGCTTAGCCCAGAAGAACACATCTCCAAAACATTAATCACACATTTTGCATAAATATCTTTGGTCATGGTACCCTCCTGCCTTCATTTGGCATCCTTTTCTATCTCGTGAAGTTTATGTCTTATTAATTGAATTCTTGCTCTCAGTAAGTTGACTTTTCACTGACAAAAACTTTTACTGACTTTACAAACTCATATTGTAAAATCAAAACTACCATAAAATGTAAAGATACCCACATCAGTTGAGATTCACATAAGGGTTTGAAGTTGGGGGAAAACTCATGAAGGATGGGGTTTTCTTTTTCTCATTTTTTCACCAGTCACCACCTGTGCAATCGTGCCCAGCTTCTTAAATATATACTCAAAATCCAGTCCCAGAAACCAATTTTTAATACTCAAAGACACATATTACAGTAATAAACTTGGTCTCAGTGGATATTACTGACAAGAAAAAACATTAAAAATTTTTAAAAGATGTAAAAGAAGAAAAATTCCAAATCAAAATATAAAATTCTTCTTCTCAGGTAGGAAGAAATACACAAACTCAGGGAAGCAGGAATTGCAATAAAAAGTCCAACTCTGTTCTTTCATTATCTGTTAGAATAAAGAGAAAAAGATATAGTAAGCATGGATAGGAATACTTTTGTTTTTGTATGGTGTGAGGACTAAGATGTAAGTGTGGAATATAATGTCTTAGACATCAAAACATTCTTGTTTGAAGTAATTACATCTGTGTTTTGTAAATAAAAGCAATTTAAATAATTCTGGATTTGGGATCATGTAAGCCTCCGGCTCATTTAATTACACTAAGTGTATGCCTTCATTCTGAGCAATTTTTCTGGTTTCCAAGATTGTAATCCAGAAGAATAATCAAATTATAAAACTATATCAATTGTATAAACATTGAATGGTCAAATAATCTTGACTTAAAAACAAGCCCTAATCAGTATCTAACCACACTCTAAAAACATCAGGAAGAGTACTGATTAAAAGAGCCATGAAATACAATTTTTCTCCTATCAAACCAACAATGTATTGTGTGTGTGTTTTAAGATAACATACAGTGCTGGTTAGAACAAAGCAAAGTAGAAACTCTCACACATTGCTGAAGAAATTTTAAATCTCTAGTAATTCTTTTTGAAAGCAGTCAGACTATAGGCATCTTTCAATATTAAAAATTTATATATTATTTATTCCTTAAAGTATACTTTTGGTAAAAACAATCACAAATATATATTTTTTAATTCTGCATTTCAGTCTTTGGGTAATAGATACAACTCTATCCATCATGGTGCCAAATTTGAACACACATAATGATTAAGTAAACTATAATATATTTTTTAATAGGCTGTTACATAAATATTAAAGTTACTTTAAAAATAATTTGTAAATAATCTGAGGAATGCTTATTTTATGTTAAATAAAGTAAAAAAAACAAGATACAATAATGAGTATATATTATTATAAGTATGTAAAACTAAATCAAGGAAAGTGTAGGGGAAAATGAAGAGAAATACACTAAAATGATGGTGGGTTTTTCTTGAGTAGTGGAAGTAAAGTTTGGTAAGTTGCCTTTCTTTCTAATTTTCTTTATTTTCCAAAGTTTCTATAGAGAGCCTGGCTTATTTATATAATGAGAGGAAGTACGATAAGATTTACTTTAAAAAATTAAAAGTGGGATTAGGATGAACCTACCAATAATGAGATGGGAGCTGGGTATCTCCCTTCTTTTGTTTTCCAAGGGATCTGTGTTCATAGCAAAACAGTGCCTGCAATATGTATATTACAGGCAGATATCCAGGGGAAGGATATAAGATCATAAAAGTGAGTTGAGTAAAAACTTTATTGGCCCTGTGATTTTTGAGGTATGTTCCAGAAGCAACCAGCTTATTCTTATCCTTTGGGCATTGTTGCACAGTATTTATTGAAAAACTCATTTAGATCTTGCCCTGAAGAACAGAAGTGATTATCTCTCAGTTACTGCCACTATGGGAGAACAAATGGTCAAAGAAATTGAGCTGCTTGAATGTCCACATCTGTTATAACAACTTATATTGAGTAGAGGAGCTATTGTACCCAGCTGTACCCAGGGAATGAAATAAAACGAACATGCTGACTTTCCATTAAAAATGAAGGGTTCAACTTATTTGAAAAGACATGTGCTATCTTTGAAAATAAATTAAAACTTTTTACATGCTCTCATTAAAACAAAAAAGATCACACAATGCAATGATACACAGAAGACTATTCATTCAGTTAACCCTACAGTCAGTAACAAGAATATTGAAAGGAAATGTTTGAGGGAGGAAATTAATGCTCGAAATTTAGTCTGACCAAACGTGCATCACATTTGGCATTATGTTCTGTTTTCTGCAATGTTCATTCATTGAAACATATGTTTTATACAAAACAGATATAATCGAAAGGGCAAGTAAGAGTGTGCTAAACATATGGTGAACATGCTGAGTTCTGGTGCCTAAGCAAAACAGGGGTCACTTAGCTTTAAAATACTCCTGGAAGGATGGGATTAACATGTACACAATACTACGTACAAAATAGATAACCAATAAGGACCTACTGTATAGCACAGGGAACTATGCTCAGTATTTTGTAATAACCTACAAGGGAAAAGAATTTGAAAAAGAATATATATATATATATATATATATATATATATATATATATATATATGTATGTATGTATAACTGAATTTCTGTGCTGTAGACCTGAAAATAACATGACATTGTAAATCACCTATACTTCAATTTTTAAAAAATTTAAGAAATACTCCTGGAGACTGTTCTTACTATGAAAAGTGATGTGCAAGCTCTTTCACTACATGAGAGTTGGTCAGTTCCAAGAGCAGCCTGGAGCCAGTCTCAGAAAGCTTAATTGGAGGAAATGTAAGTGAAGTTGTAAAAAACAACAGTAGCTCCTCTGGGGAATCTAGTCCTCCTTAATCAGATGTGTGTGCTTAGCTTGCATTTTAATTCTTAGAGGTATTCTGCCTTTGTAACATGAACTCTGATCAGAACAGAGAGATGGGGGAGGGCTAAGCTGTAGATCCAGACCATTTCTACATCTCACCTTTCCAAGTGGTCACTCCACATCAAGGTTGAGGAGCACTGGTGGGGTAAAGAGGAGGAGCTGGATGCATAGTTGTTTGTGTGGTGCCTGATCTGTGAACAGACAGAGGGTTTCAGTGGACGAATTATTGATTATGACTCCTTTCATCAGATGACACTTCCCTGAACATTTTTTTAAAAAACCAGCAGAGCCCCAATCCATACATCAATGCCCATCGGTTATGACCGAGTAAAACAAAGATGTTTTAGATATTATCTCCCCGAGACTATCTCATTCCTGCCTCTGTGCTTTGACCCACACTCTATTTCTTCCCACACGGACACACCAGACATTACTTGAGAGCAGAAATCGGGTCTAATGTGACTTCGGGAGCCCTAGAGCATTTATCACAGCATTTGTTAAATGCCAAATGAAAGCTCACTGACTTCAAATGATCTTTATAGGTAAATCTAATTCTACCACTCTCCAGCTTTCAGTGGCTTCCTGTTGCTCTTAGGGTACAGATCAAACATTATCTGCTTGATCTAGCCTCCGGCTGCAACTCCAGCTTTGCTTTGAACCTTTTGCTACTGTGTGCTCAGGCCACACTAGCCGTACAGGAACATCACAAACAGGGTCACCCTCCTGCCTACCTCAGGGCCTTTGCACTTGAAGCTTCTGCTACCCAGAGTGCTCTTCCATTCCCTCATCACCTGGCTGACTACTACTTGTCCTTCAGGTCTTAACTTGGAAAAATCACTTCTTCAGAGAATACCCCATTGACCAGGACTGGTCTCCCACTGTGTGACCCACTATTTTCTTTTCAAGAATTCATTGTAGTTTGTAACGACTAGTTACTTGTGTGATTATTTGTTTAACACGAGTTGTTATCTCTAGGCTACAAGCTTCCTGAGAGCAGAAACCATGCCTGGTTTAGCTTATCACTGCATCTCCAGCAGCTACCACAGTGCCTGGCACATAGGTGACGGTCTGTAAGTATTTGTGGCCTGAATGAACAATGCTGCATAATTTGCCCTGAGGCCCATCCCTCAACAGCATTCTACAAATAATCGCTTAAATTCATTCGATGCAATAAAATATTGAAATATACACATTTCGACAAAGTTGAAATACATAAAAAGAAAATATACCTGAAAAATGTTTCCTTTTTATACATTTCTTAGTAATTCTCTTACAAGAACTAGCAAAATGAAATAAAATTCTTATAAGAAATTGTTACAAGAAAGAACAAAAAGAAATTGAATTCAATGTATCCTTAGTCAGTCTTTTTATCAGATTGCTAGAGTCCTTTTTTTCTCAAGAGTATAGTTAAGATCATCTTAAATAGCACGTCCAACCCAAGTGGCGTGACATTATATAAAATGTCCAGACAGACATGTGGTTCTCCAGTTCTTGACTGTGTTAAGCAAATAGACAATTTTTTATTTTAGGAAGGCAGTGTTACTTGAAGGACAATAAAATGACATGTCTTCATTGCAACAAAAAAATATAATTTGGTCAATATCTATTTCAGAGCAAACAGAAGATGTTCAGGGACACTTTTTATAGAAACATTGTGGATCTGGAAGAATGGTCAGAGTCGAGGTCAAAATAGAAAAGAAAAACAAAACAGGTTTTCCTCTTCATTCTCTGAGACTTTCAGAATCGCCTGTGTGCCCATGTATGAGAAGACCCTTCATATGTTAAAGACCAATCTGGTTAGGTTGGGTCCCTTCACTAGAGGACCGCTAAGTTTCTCTTCCTGCTGTCATGCTGCTTAGGTTCTCATTCAGAGGACTGCTTTAACTAAGTAAATACACTTGAGATTGCATTATTTGTTGGCCCAACTTTAAGAGCAAATATAACAGTAGGCATTTTGGTATCATATGCCTGTCCAATGTCAAGTAGCAGGAAAAGAAGGAACTAAAGAGAAATGAGGCACTGCAAGGTAATAGGTGAAGAGCCGTGAGTTCTGAAGCATGGTATGGTGCCCTGTTCCACTCCCTAATCCACTCCCCTGGTGGAACCCATCTCCCTTATGGACATTCTCCTTGATTCACTCCGTCATTCACATTACAAAATTTTGCTTCACGGTCACACCTAATTCTGCAGCTTACTCTGCCCCTGCATTTCATGCCAATTTTCTCTCCTGTGTGTCTCTTTTATTTCACTCCTTCTCTCCAGTCTTCACATCATTGTTCAGATTCTCACCCTCATTCTTCTTGTCCAGTGTATCAATCTGAACTATATGAAATTCACATTTTTGTTGGATCAAAAATGGTTGGATATTGGAAATTATATCTGATTTAACCTAATAACAGCCTTCTAACTAACTAGTGTTTCTGACTGGAGTCTTTCTTTCCTCTAACACATCCTTCGTATTGTTTCCAAGGCAAACCTTGGCAAATCCTAAACATCTTTGAAGGTTCCCCACTGCTACAGGATAAAGTTCTGAAGTACCTAAAGTGCATCACTGAGTGGTTCCAACCTCCACCTCTGGGTTTATCTCCTGCTTCTCCTCTTCGTGTGACCCTTGATTCAATCCTATAAACTACTCACACTTCCAGAAACCTGCCAATGCTCTTTTACATCTAATTACTATGGAGTTTGCTATTCCCCTTCTAAAATGCCTCTCTCTACTTCTGTCCAGAATCAATTGTACTTTTCCTCCAAGATCCAGTCTTTTGTTTTCTCGGAAAAGTATCTTTCCTTCTATCATATTACCATGGCATCATATACATTATTCAAGATGTAATTATCTCATTATATTGTACTGGATTGGCCAAAACGTTCATTTGGGTTTTTCCTTAACATCTTACAGAAAAACCCGAACAAACTTTTTGGCAAACCCAATACTTATCAGTGTGTCGGTTTCTCACTTTCTGATTCATATCAGGAGCCCAATAAATGTTTGTGAGTAAAACAGCATTCTAAGAAATAATTGGCTCTCCTCAGTGGTCAACATTATGAGGCCAAGGACTAAGCAAATCTTTTGGCACACATAAGAACCTACTAGGTGGAAATCACTTTATCAGGCATGATGATATGTTCATATTTTAAGTTTCTTTTGACTCTAGAAATGTGTAGTCTCTGTATGTCCCATATAACACTTGAGAATATCCATGGTTACATTTCACCTGACTATATATCACTCTAATTCACTGGACTGGGATGAAAGCACTCAGACAGTGCCCTTTTTTGAATGGATAAATGAATGAATCAATAAATAATAAGTAAGGACTGTCTTGTGCTGAGTATTCCCAGAAGCAGACCCTGAGCCAAGGGCTTGTATGCAAGTGACTTATTAAGGATGTACTCCCAGGAGAAACAGTAAGGGAGTGGGAAAGTAGGACAGAGAAGGAGAAGAAGCCATGAAGTGGTGAGATTTTAGGTAATTCCAGTCTCAGTCTGAAGCTTTGGGAAACTCTGGAGTGTAAACTACACTTCAGAGTTTATCCCATCTCCAGACAAAGGGTTTGGGCTTTCCTACTCCCATACCCATAAGTCATTGCTGCTTTGGGGAGGAGTAAAACTCGTAGGTTATGCTGGTTCTGCCTGTGGGTGAGCCTCTGAAGGTACTGGTGTGAACAGTTAGCAGCAAAACAAGCAGAATCTGGGGATGGGTATAGAACTGGTGTACGGGATCCGACAGGTTCTGCGTAGGGATCCAGTCACGTGGGATACACTCCAAGCAAATATTTGGCAAGTTAAGTTTAGCTGGTAGTGGAGGAGACTGCCCATGTGTGTAGATTGGGGAGCTCTGTTCAGCGGCGTGTCCTGTTGAAAATAATCTTTGTCACTCCTGCTACTGATGCCTGGACTCCCTTTAGCTAGGGATAAAACTTCTTAATCTATATTGAGAAGCAGTACTTAAAAGGGAATTACCTTGGGTGGAAGGAAGAAAAGGTAGAAATATTTATGTCAGGCAATGCCAAACTCTTTTACGTTTAATCCATTTAATGCTTTACCCCTTTAAGACACTGAATTTCATCCACATCAAAGTATGAGTCTTTCCTGAGAGTGTAGGATGTACAGGCGCTAATGGGCCTCTCTTAGACATCTTAGTTCTTACCACCATGAAGATACTGTCCAGCTCAAAATAAGTCCTCTTCCTCTTGTTTTAGCTAAGCTTATAGCTTTGTGTGTTCTTCCCAAATTACCAAATATGTATAATACCCAAGCTGCCGTGGCAATTGCAATAAAAAGATTGATGTATGAGTGGCCACTCAAGTCACCTGAACACAACCCAGTTGTTGGCCCTGCTCCCATGGCTTGTGGGTGGACCCTGGCTGTTAGTGGTTTGGCTGAGGATGCTGTATGCCTGTGTTCCTGGAGCCACCCTTCCTCTGTCTAGTGAACCCTGCATTAGTCTGTCTGTGAGGTTCCTTTCAGAATGACCCAGCTGCACCACAGAGTTCAGACTACTCTTCAGCCTGTTGCTAAAGTTCTCTCTGTTTACTTCGCATCATCTCACTAATTTCTCCCCATCCACTGTTTGATCCTGAACAGCTGAGGTGTATGGTCTGATCTATTGTCTTCAGAATTTCAATGCCAGATGTGTAATATATTATAAAGGCTAGCTGAATTCCTGAGGAACACAGAGAAAACTATTTGATGATTACTTACCTTCCATCACCTCTAACTACCTGTGTCCTTGTTATAGATCACCCTGCACATAGAGCTAACCCTCCCTCTTCCAACTTTCTGTTCACTGGCTCTATTCCACTGCCTTCAAAAGTCATAGACTTCCCTTATCTTGGGAAATAAAATACACACAAACACCTGTTCTTGACTGCTTGTCGCTTCCCCTTTCTGTAAGTGTGGTCCAATCTCTCGCTCCCTTTACCACCAGCTTCTCTACATGATATATCCACTACTCTTATTTCCTCTCCCTTCAACTCCCTCCTAAAAGACAGCCCCAAATAATAAAGTTCTTTCCCTTTGTCAGACACTGTTCTAAACATTTTACAAGTGTTTATTCTTTGAAGTTTGCACTACTATCGTCTCTCCACTTGACAGATGAGGAAACTAAGGAAAAGAAAGGTAAAATAACTTGTCCAGGGTCACCCACAGGTAAGTAGCAGAGCTTGGATTCAAATGCAGACAGTCTGGT